ACTTAGAAGAAGTTAACATAATCTATTTATGACTTTGTCCATCTTTTTGGGTTGGCTATTTATTCTCATTTTCCTAAATATTTTTATATTTAGTTAGAAGAAGTTAAACATACGTGGATATGTTTGCATGATCAAGTTAAACCCCACATAATTCTCCGCACTTATGTTTCCTTGATCATCACAATCACAAAGAAAAGTCATCGGGATGTTGAAATTATCTTGGTTCTCATTATCTTCATTCAACAGCGCAGAAAACTCACGTACCCATTACCGAGCGAAAATATGTAGTTGCTAAAAAAATCTGAAACTCACTATTTGTTGTTTTCTAAAATAGGTTTATGTTTTGGAAAAATTGTGAAAACAATTTTAGAAGCAACCTTCCAAATGGGTTTTCTTGATTATGACTTGGGATATCAAACAGTTTTTAAGTATTTGAATTATCCAATTAATTACTCATTTTCAAAAACAATTTTCCATGCAGAATTTTTTTCTTGAAACCTCTTTTATTAGTTAGATTAAACAAGAATCACTTATGTCGGTAGAAGGCTAGAGAATGTGCTTACTTTGTGCATGCCCAAATAAATGGAATATGTGGAGAGTTAACTGTCCATTAAGAAAACCTCTGTCATTAATTAGATTAAACATGAGCCATTTGTGCCGGTAGCTACCTTGTGCATTCCTAAATAAATGGAATCTGGGCGCCCGGGGGCGGGCTTGTAATATGTCTATTAAGACAAATGCCAAGGGAAGCTGGAACGTGGGAGCATAGAACAGTGGTGTTTTTCTTTGGAAAAAGAGGGAATTACTTACAAATTTCTATTTATTGAAAATATTATTTAAGTAAAAGAAGAAAATCAGGAAAAGGTTACACATCATCATTTAGTATTCACCATCACATCTTTTTTATGGTTAAGATAATAAACAATTTAGGATGGGTTCAGTATGTATGATAAGGTAAAATAAGATAAAATTATTTCTCTTTATCAGATGTTTGGTCCGTATGATATAAAAGTGGAATAATGAGATAAATAAGGATAATTATCATGATAGACTCGGATAGCGTTATCTTGGAGGGAGTCTAATATTGGATTTCCATTTTTTATTGTACTAAAATATCTCCATTATTCACATGAAAAATGACCAAATCAACCCAGCCACAACTATAGCCATAGCTGTCCACCCACTCTGGATGACAACTCCGGTCATAATTGTCTGGCTACTCCAACAATCCAATGGTGGAAAGAGATCGTAAAAGGTGAAAAAGAGGCCAAATGTTCTTGAAATTGCATAAACAAAGGTTGGAGTTTAGCTAGAACTCGAGTAAGATTTGGATTAAGGCTTATTAGGACAAGAGGAATAACCCTAGGTAGGAGGGGTTGGGATGTGAGCATCAGTTATCTATGTAAGAGAGAGCTTCCGTGCAAGGAGAAGCGAGAAGAGTTGTGTGTGAGAGAGCTTCTATGTGAGAGCATAATAAGGACGATGAGGACATGAGCACGACGATGGTATTTGATCTATGCAAGAGCAAATTGCATATCAATGTGAGAGAGAGCACAATGAGGATTGTGCAAATTTGCACTGATAAATAGAGCTCTTCCTTGATAAGCTTTTGCGTGATGAACAGTGCTAATAAACAAAGAAGACCGCCGTTGACGAGCTTGTACGTGTGATTCTTTTGTGAGGATGATGATCAATAATAAGGTATTTTTGTAAAATTTTGTATTATTGTACTATATCCTATTCTTTAGATTAAGTTATACCAAACAAGTGAAAAAATTATTATTCATATCTTATTTTATTTACTTATATCCAATCTGATACGCAGAACATGACTTTAAAAGAAACATGTTATTGCAACAATATACTCCATCTTAGTAGAAGATAAAGTAACTATTTATTATTTATTGGATGAGTAAGATAACTCCAAAACTAACGGGTCTGGTTTAGACCGTGAACCGACCCAAACCAGACCTGTAAAAAACTAGACTAGACCAAATTAACAATTTCTGATCTAGTCCAATCCTGAAATGTGAGAGTTCATGGCCCAGTTAAGGTTTAGATTTTTTTGAACCTGAACTAAAACCGAAACTGTGAATGAATCTTGGACCGGAACCGTGAATGAATCATGAATCATTAACTGTGAATGAACCATAAACTGGAACCATAAATGAACTGTAAATCATAAACCGTGAATTGGAACTATGAATGAACCGTGAACTAGACCTATGAGTAAAACTTGAATTTGTTTTAATTTATAAAAATTAAAAATAAATGATGATATTAAAACTTTTTAATTATGAAAAGTTAATTATTTCTTCTTTTATTTTCTTTAATTGCTAATGAATATTTACTTAGTGTAATTTAATTATTATTATTTTCCTAAAATTACCTTATACGTTGTCAATATTATATAATTTTCCACTATGTAGAAACTTGATGGGGCCTAAGACATTGTTCTCTAAAATGAGTTTTTAGCTTAACTTATTTATATTTTAATTTAAAATAAATTATTTTAGGACCATTATGGAAGGTGAGGATATTCTTAATAAAACTCAACATTGTTACTTTAATATATATTTGGATAAAACTTAAAGAATATATGCTTGGATAAAGCCCAAAAAATAATAAATCAAAATTTCAAATGATTTATAAGTTAATATATAAATTTTTTTCCGGCAAAATCGAACTAGAACCAAACTAAATTGTGGACGAACCATGAATGAACTAAAACTAGAACCAAATGTAAGCGAATCGTGTTGAACTAGAAATGAACCGAGACAAAACCGTAAATGAATCGAAACCAGAAATGTGAACCAACTCAACTCGAACCATGAACCAACCTGAACCAAAACCCAAACCTGAACCGTGCCGAGCCAAAACTATGAACCAAATGAGAACTGTCATGAACTGTAATTGAAACTGGACTGGCCTTGAAAGTTCCAGTCTAGGCCAATTCACGAATCATAAACAGACATACTAATACTTATAGTAACAAAATTCATTTTTTCCATCACAATATGATATAATAACAAATATTTGAGCTTATCATAAGTAAAAATTTTGTTGCAATACATGCATTTTCTTGTAAGAAAAGTTTCTCCTAATAACCTTTCTCTAAACCAGAGTAGTTTATAACATGGCATACCATTTTTTCCAACACCCTATTTTTTCTTTCTATCCCACCATTTTGTTGTGGAAGAATATAGTAATGCTGTCTGAAAAATTATTCTAATAGACCTAGCTGGTAAAAACGCGTATTGTACCCAAATAATACTTTGTCAAACGTAATTTTAAAAAAAACTCTCTGTTCCCGTCTTTTTATAAAAGAGCCAGTAAAATACACATCTTTTATGATAAAAACGTACATATACGAATTACGCCCGAATAATACTTTCCGTACATAATGCATATTTTATTTTTATAGGAGTTTGTTAGGACTATTGTGGAGATCTTTTGTCAATACTAAAAAAGTATACATTTTAAATTTTATCAGTTATATAATTTTAAAATATGTGAAAAAATTGAAGTAATTTTGAATTTATAAAAAAATTATCACAAAAACTATTTGACTATCTTAGGTTTACGAGGACAAATACAATAACAGCAGAAAAATTTTTTAATTTAAAAAGATGAGATATGAAATTCATTGACTTGAATAATTTTAGTGAATTTTTAAATTATGTTGCTTATGAATTTCATAAAAATATTTACTAACAAGATTTGATATTTCAAAATTAGGAAATTACTAGTAATATTATAAGCAAAACTAATATGATCTAGTTGAATATTTTATTTTGAGAGTGTTTCATATATTTATTATGTTAGATTGTTGAAATTTTTGATACTTTTAAATTATAATTATTAATAATTGATCTTATTTAATCAAAATTTGATACTTAAATTTTGATATACTTATTTAATTTAAAATTAACTCAATACATTAATCTATATAATTTTACATGATTTTTTAGTTATTATTGATTTATATCATACAATAATACAAAAATATATATTAACGTATTATTTTATATATAAATCGTTATATATTTTTAGGGAAAATATAATTTATATGTGAAAAACATATTTATACAAGACTAAATAAATTACTAAAACAACTTATTTTTTATAACATATTTTTAAAATTATCCGTAATATACATATATTTTTTATTTAACGTAATTTAAATGAATCTATAATTTTTGTTGAATATTAAACGTAACTTTCATAAAAAAAAATATATATTATACTCGTACATAATAAGTATCATAATTTTTCCATTCTGTATTTTACTAACTATGCTAATAGACTCAAAATAATTTGAATTAAAACATTCTCCTCCTCTATCAAACCTTATACTTTTAATAAATGACTCATGTCAAAATTCTACTTCATTTTTAAATTTTTTACATATATCTAATTCTTCATCTTTTGCATGCATTAAATATACATAATAATATCTTGTGTAGTCATAAGTAAATTTGATAAAATATTTCTTATCACCTATAATAGGCCAACCATATAAATCACATACAACGTAACGAATTAAATCTAACACTTTAAAATTTCTTTCTATTCTTAGAAAACCTAGTCTTGTTATCTTTGTTAATATAAAAGTTGTACATGCATGCTTCTGAATTTTCATTTGCCTTTACAATTAAATTTCATTTTATAATTTTATTTAATTTTTTAAAGTTAACATGTCCTAAATGATTTCTCATGAATCAAAAGACTCAACAATACTTTTATGCACAATAACATTCATCTTGAAAATTTTATTACAAAGATACCTTTTTTTCATAAACATTTCACCCTTCGACAGAATAAACTTGTATCTTTCAAAATACAAACTTAAACCCTAACTTATAAATAAAGGAACCGACATGGGATTAAGTTTTCTTTTATTCTAAAAATTCCTCTCACATTCAACACCCTGAGCATGTGTTTACCTTCACTGGAAGGAGGCGAGGGCGGTTGCGCAGTCTTCCTTACGAATGAAGATCTCAACAATGATCGTGTTTCACATCATCTAAACCTACTATACCATTTTCATCATATGATTCTTCATCATCTGGTTCTTGTTCGTCATCTGGCTCTTTTTGGTCGTATTCTTTGTCATCTGGCTCTTTTTTGTTGGATTCTTTGTCATCTGGCTCTTTTTCATCTGATTCTTTGTCTTCTGAATATTCATCACTATCACTGTCATAATCTGGCTCCACATCACCTTGGGGATTCAATTCGGCAATAAATATCAGAAGACAAAATGGATAGTAAACGATGTAGCGCAATGCTTGATGGTTGAGGGAAGCCGGGAGAGAGGGCAGAAGCAAGAGTGTCAAGCCAGAAAAAAGGAAGATAGAGCTCACGAGTAAAACAACACAAGGTAGCCAACTAAGGTTGCTCACCACAAGAGAAACGCCCATCATGAATGACAGAGAGACCGTTGTCAGAGATAGACCAAGTAATGGAACTGCCAATTTGAGGAAAGATTTGATTAGATATAAATCACCCATTTGCGCCCATACGAGTGCAAGGACAACCAACATGGAGCTGTAAAAAGCCATTGTATTGGTGATCACAAATGCCTGGAATGATGCCTTTTTGCCCAAAACTGCCACACCCTTGGGATTGGAATCAGTGCTAAATCCACCAGGCACTGCAAGACCAGCAGCAAATGTCACGGTCATAATAAGTGTTGCCGTCAACATGAACGACGTTGTCATATCTTTGTAAGCATCAAGATTTGGTCTCCGGGCAACATACAACATCCTATATTCGCCTGTACCACGTCTTGGTGTCTGGGTGGTAGGAATATCCTTGCCTCTTGGTGCATTTGCATGTTTCAATGCCAACCACGTTAGCCGCTGCAAACAATTTAAGGGAGAGGGAGGGAGAGTTTTAAAAGAAACGATATGGAAGTATTTCTCTAGTAACTCATGCTATAGAATCACAAACAAAAATGGGAAAGATGAACTGACATGGAAGATAGTAAAATTATTAACATGCATGCTTGTACTAGTTTACTGTTACGAAAAAAACATTACAGCTAGTACAGTTCCATATTTGTGATTCTATTGGACAGAGTTGTGTGTTCTAGATGATTTAAAAATCATTGTTTTTTCTCTCTTTCTTTTTCCTTTTTTCTTTTTTTGAAAACAAAAAAAACCAATCCCATTCATGGAAGCACTGAAAAAGAGCAAAAATCCACTGATAAGGGAAATGAGTGGGAAAACACTCAAAAGCAAAACATCAACCTATGCCCAAATCAAATAAAACCAACTGATTGTTGTAGGAAAAGGAGTATGAGAGAGGAGGATTATTTTGCAACTTACTTCATTTCAAATGCAAAATATAAGGAGTATATACAAGTGTATATTATAACTCTTAGACTCTTGTTACATGAACCGTACTAATTATCTATACAAGAATCATAATAAATACAAAATACTTGCACATGCCTATACAAAGTATATACTCACACAATGAACTTAACCATTTAGAACTCCCAAAAAACATATGTATGTAATCATTACACACATTCTATAAAAGTTCAAATTATTTATTTTCAACACTAATCACAGAATCTTTGTCAAGGTTTCTCAGTTATCAGCTTGAAAGCCATTTTCAATATCAAAAGTGTTTTCTTTAAATAAATAAAAGCATAATTAATATCAGCCAACATCCATTCTTCAATTCTCTTAAGTTGCAGCACCCATCAGTATTGATGTTTTGATAATGAGAATGAATATGCAATGGCCACAACTGTGTACATATATTCAATTTCACATTGTATATGAATATTATTTAATCTTTATTTATTGTGTTCTATTTCATCATACAATCCCGAGACTCATCTTTCCTTTTACAATTTTTAGATGTAAATTAAAAAAAAAAAATCAGAGAACGGGAATAAACTTTACCTGTTGAAAAGATGGCGAATTCCTGTTGAAGGACATCAGCGCAGCATCCATGACGGTGTGGCCTTTATCATCCTTTAGGTCAAACCTAACTCTCTTGTCCCATGTGAGAATACTTACAACCTTTGGATGAGCCATAACGGTGGCCAAATGTAGTGGGGTATTTCCTCCTTCATCTGTTTCATTGATAAGCATCTCAAGCTCCGGCAGTTGGAGAATATAGCTAACAACCTTGGCTCTGCCACTCTCGGCGGCCATATGAAGGATGTTTTGACCGGACCCGTTTAGTATCTCTCTCAAATCAGGGAAACGTTCTAGGAACTCTCGGACGATTTCTACGTGGCCTTTCATGGCTGCCATGTGAATAGGACAGCACCAGCCGAATGGATCTCTCCAGTACGTGGGGTCAGCAAATTTCTCCACTATGAAGCGAACTCCATCAAGATAACCTATGCTTGCCGCATTGGAAAGAGGTGTCCTATATTCCTCATCGTATCTATTAAAAAGAGATGGTTCGTAATCGTATGCTATCTCGAGAACGCCTGCAAAAATTTGATAAGAAAGATAGAGATAGATTGGGGGGAAAAAAAGGGAAGAGAGAGAGAGAGAAGAAGATAATCTCAACGGAAAGATAAAATGAAAGAAAAGGCCACAGGAAGCCAAGCAAATTGGTAATTTCATCCTATTATTTTTGAGTTGCGGCGGGGGACGGGGCTGAGGCTGATTAGTGAAGATCTTCATATATTCCTCCAGGTCTCTGCGGCTAAAGCATTAGCTCGGTTGTATTGATTTTTTTTTATTAAGTCACAAAAATGAAAAGTCAATATAGACTTTACAAGGAAATGCCCATTTATTTTAGATAAATTAAACATAAAAGTGTTTTATTGAGATTATATGGAGAATAATTCAATTTTATATTATATATATTTTGGGCATTTGACATTTAATTTAATTGGTAAAAAATAATAAATTATTATTATTTTAAAATTTAAATTTCAAGCACAACAGACATATTATTTTAAAATTTAAATTTACATATTCTCAATTTTGAAAGTATAAAAAAATTAACAATTGTTTAATACAGATACTAAAATAAACAATGTATAAAAAGTATATGGGCCAAATTTAGGTTCAATCCAAAAACTATATATGTAGAATAGCATATGTATGTATCCCAAAAATAAATATAAAAAATAAAATAAAATTTAGATTCCGATTATATTATTTCCCTTATTTTTCAGCTTGATAATGTCTGTACTTTTTATAGCTTCAATTACTGGTTTGGCATCTTCAAATCCTTTGTCCCGTAGAAAAACACCAATAATTAAGAAACATCTATTTCATTGCTATTTTTTCAATTCTTCTTTTTTGCTTTTTAATTAAAGACTCCATGTAAGTTTTGAAACAATAAAGCAGGTTGCCTGATTTTATTTTGCGAAACAACCGTCAAAAGGAGAAGGAAGATGTAGCAATGGAAAACTAGTCAGCCATCATATCTGAATTGTAGTACACATCCTTTTGGTTTTGGATTTAAAACAATTTTCTGTTTCCAGCAATACAAAAAGCTGTTTGGTAAGTTGTTTCCAAAAACTGATTTTAGTAAAAAAAAAAAAAGTAACAAATAGTTGTTCTTAGAATTCTCAAAACACTTTTTACTCAAAAATGAAAACGACGCTAAAATAATATCATTTTCAACATTTTATTTCAGCTTTGAAAATCACTTGAAATTTAAACTAACAACCGAAAACATAAAACAGAATAGAAATCCAGACACTACTGGCAGGATTAGAAGATAAAAATGCTCCAAATAATGCATGAGTGGTTACACTTTTGAATTGTGATTATCTAAGCCAACATTACGGAACCCAAAGGGGTATATTCAAAGGGGGATAGCTAACAATTTCATGATCTGTAGCTCCCTTCAAATGAGAAGTAAATGCACAAATCTAAACCAAAAAAGATCCAGCAGACACAAATACACATATCTGTAATATGTAGTTCAAGATGTTTCCATTAAATCACAATAGGGCTGATAAACTAGCTTTTCTTGCCTCATCAAGTTGAACCAATCCAAACAATTTACAGGGCACACGGAAAAGAGATTTACACAATTACAAAATAGAACTAAAGCTCTCATTGAAACAACAACCATTTAACTATATTGAAAAGGAATTTTCAAGTTCACTTACTCCGACAACTTCCTGAAATCTCAACAAGCTTGGACAGGTTCTTCACGCATTCTCGGCCAATCAAGGGGTCCAAGTCCTCCTTGTCCTCTTCAACGCAGCTCACACCGTCGACGATTATGGCTTTGGCCTTGAGCCCGATGATGCACTTGGATCGTCGTTGTAGAACTGAAGACGGAGCACGGCTTGGCGGGAGGAGAGCTCGTCGATGGCGCCGTCAAAGGTGTTCTGTTGGCTGTGGGTGCGGCGATGGAAGGGGGAGAGGAGAGAGTGGGTGCGGCAATGGAAGGAACAGAGGAGAGAGAGTGGTGGGCTTCGGAGTTCTGCAGTTTGAGCTTTACCTTGACTTCCAGTGGGCTATTTCTCAACCGTTAGTTATCCTAGTAGTAATATCCAAGCCAATAATTGGGGGCACAAGCCAATAATTGGGGTCACGTATATTAATAGTTGGCCTCCGTCACTTAATTTTTGTGGGTGGCCGTCATCTGTTCCGTTTTCCATCTGTTTGCATTTCTTCTCTCTTTTTTGTTATTTTTAAAAAAATTTTAAGACGAAAACGTTATGACCCACTCTCTTCTTCTTTCAACTTTTCATTATTTCCCTGATTCGAGCTCTTTTCAAAGGTTTTTTGCCAATTTCGACTGCTTCTTGTTATTAATTTCTGAAACTCAGATAACCTATCTGGACTTAGTTTTTTTTTGTTGAAATATTGTAACTTATGGTGAATTTTTTTTTAGTCATTTGGCTTTAAATATTTGAGTTGATTGTCTCCGCCCTGTTTCGTTCTTCCTGTTCCATCTGAGTTATATTACATCTTAAATGTTGCTTTTCTTCTTGTTTATGATTTGCTCTTTATTTGCATGAGGTTTTGTAAGCTGAGTTAATTCTACTGGTCTGACCCATATTAGAAAGCATGGATGTCGGGAAAGAGAAGCTAGTGAGGTAATTCTTTATAGTTTCCTCTCTCCTATGTAGTTTTTGTTTTGGTAATTTGAGTAATGGGTTTTACAAATTTATCGGTTTTAAATGAGGGAAAGCAAATTGCTAAAGAAATGCCCCAAATTTACAAAGTTTCCTTTGTCCGAGAAAATGTATGTTCAGTGCAATGCAAAAATCTCACCTTCCCTCTCCTTCTTTGGTTTCTAATACCAAATTCCAGCATCATAATTTACAATTCAAGTAAGATTTTCAGAATTTGTAATTTTATATGAGCTTAATTGGAGTTTAATTTTTAGGAAATGTAATTTTAGATGTGTAAATGAAATTTGACAGCATCAGAATTTCCAGCTTGCTGCTGTCTTAGAAAAAATTCATAACTATAACTAGAAAACTCAGATTGAGATGATTCAAGAAGCAATTGAAAGATAAGAGAGAGAGAGCTACAAATTTGTGTTTTGGCCTTAAACAAATTCAGACCTTAGAGTTTTCAAGAATTGAAGAATAAAATTAGTAGTATTGCAGCAACGGCAGCATCTTTATTGTTTGTTGGTGCTGTGGAGAATAAATCTTAACTTGAGTTACAGAATTCGGATCAAACTGATTCATCGATCAAATAAAAGCTAAGTGAGAGCTCTAAAAGTTTCATATTTGGGACTTAGTCCAATTCAATATATAGGCATTCCAAAATTCAAATGGTAAAAACAAACTCAGTTCTATTATAAGCAAAGTTTCGCTCAGTTATAAGTAGAGCTCAACCTGTAATTGAGCTAAGATTTGCTTGTAACTATGTAACTGAGCTGAGCTCTACTTGTAACTAAACTAAGTTTACTTCTTTCATTTGAATTTTGGGATACTTATAAACTGAATTGGACTAAATCCCAAATATGAAACTTTTAGAGTTCTCTCTTAGCTTTCATTTGATTCTTAAATCACATTAATTCAAATTTTATGGCCCAAGTTATGATTTTTTCTCCAAAACACCAGTAAACAGCAAAGATGCTGTTGTTGTTACAATACTACTGATTTTGTTTCTTAATTTTCGAGAACTCTAAGGTCTGAATTTGTTTGAGATCAAAACACAAAAGTTATAAGTCTCTCTCTTATCTTTCAATTGCCTCTTGAATCGTTTCAATTTGAGTTTTCTACCTATAGTTATGAATTTTTTTCTAAGACTATAGCAAGCTAAAAATTCTAATACTGTCAAACTTCACTTGCATATCTAAAATTACATTTTCTTAAAATTAAGCTTCTCTAAAATTATAAATTCTGAAAATCTTGAATTGTAAATTATGTGTTGGAATTTGGTATTAGAAACCAGAGAAGGAGAAGGAAGGTGAGATTTTTGTGTTGCACTATACATTTTCTCATACAAGGGAAACTTTGTAAACGTAGGGCATTTTTTTAGCAGTTTGCTTTCCCTCGTTTAAAACCGATAAATTCATAAAACCTATTACTCAAATTACCAAAACAAAAAACAAATAGAAGAGAAAACTATATAAAAAATAACTTCACTAGCTTCTCTTTCATGACATCCATGCCCTCTAATATGGGTCAGATAAACAGAATTAACCCAACTTACAAAACCTTAAGCAAATAAAGAGCAAATCATAAACAGGAAGAAAAGCAACATTTAAGATATAACATAACCCAGATGGAATAGGAATAATAAAACAAAGCACAGACAATCAACTCAAACATTTAAAACCAAATGACTAAAAAAAAAATTACCATAAGCTAAAGTATTTTAACCAAAAAAACTTAGTCTAGATAGGTTCTCTAAATTTCAAAAATTAGTAACAAGAAGTAGTCAAAATAGGCGAAAAGGCTACGAGAAAGAGCTCGAATCAGCAAAATAACGGAAAATTGATAAAAGAAGAGAGAAGATCATAACGCTGTTACGTTTAAAAGAATTTAAAAATGGTAAAAAAGAAAGAAGAAACACAAACAGCAAGAAAACGAAATACAGGATGGCCATCCACAAAAATTAAATGATGAGGGCCAGCTATTAATACACGTGACCCCCAATTATTAGCTTAGGTATTATTACTAGAATAACTAATAATTATACCCGGTATACCAGAGAATTAATCCTTCCATTGACATGCAAAGCTAGGTTTGATTGAGGGATTCAAGAATTTAAGAATGAGAGGAGAGGCCGATTAGGGATTTTGAATTTCAAAATGAGGGAAAAACTCAAAACGCGCCAGTGGAGACCGAAATTTGATAAAATGAAATGTTACCTCTCGCAGCAAAAACAGAAGTGTGCCACTGAACTTTGAGAGAGCGAGAGTGGCGGCCATTCCGTAAATTGAAGGATTTTCAATTTTGTTGTCAATAATACCTAGAATAAAGTACACGCAAATTTTATTTTATTTTTTATATTTTTTCTTTCTATTTAAAAAATCAAATTAAAAAAATCAAGAAATAGAGAAAGAGGAGCAATGAAATTTAAAAAAAAAAGAGTAAAATACTTTGATCAATTTATCTTTCTTTATCTATTTATTTATTATTATATCATCTTATTTAGCATCCTTAGTATTTAATTTTGAAAAAATGAAACACCTTTATTATTAATTTGATTATTGTAAGGGATTAGAAGAAAAGAAAAACTCTTCA